AACTTTGATTTCCCCCATCCTCATATGCATGAGGTACAAAAGAAGACATAAGTAAGTGTAAGTATAGTAATGATATTGTAAAGACCTTATTGATTTGAATTGATTTTTGAAGTGTAACTCGAAGGAAAACAAACAAAATGAAAAAAAAAAATTAGAAAGAAGAATGCATTGAAGTGTTGTTTATCTTATTACCAATCCCATAAAATTCTTTTTCAAATGTATTTATTTAAAATCAAATATCGAAAAAAAGCACAAATCTTAGACGGTTTTTTATTTAAATATAAAAGTTGATCAACACGATGCACAACTTACCGGGTCTGCTGCCCAACATCTCAAAACCATCGACTTTGATTAGTAAAGCCGTAATGTATCAGCATAAAAGATGATGATACATATTTAAGGCCCTGCGGAGTACTGGCCAAAAGTACTCACCTTGTCCGTTCGTCCGTCTGTCCGTCAGTACTTTTGTCGTTGTACGATAACTCAAGTTTGCCTTCAAGTTGAAAGATTTAATTCATATATATTAGATAAAATAAAGTACAACTAGAGGAAGCTCCCTTGGGATCAATTTCTATTTTCGTTTTCGAGAAATCAGACTGAGGCTAGTGGACCTTCATGGCAGTGTCATATTTCTAGTTTTTTTTGTTTTTTTTCTTAATTTTTTAATTTTGAATTTATATACGGTCTGCAAATCTCAATGAATCTGTATGACAACAAAAATGTCAAGAAATAGAGTAATAAGATGGGACTCTGTTATTGTTAAAGTTTAAACTAATAATTCGATAATCTTTTAATCGATTTTGCTTTTTTCTTTTAAGATGAAGAAGAAATTACTAGCAGCTGAAAACTGTGCTTCCTCGGCCACATCTGCTGATTAAATCGATGAAACCCCAGGTGACATGCCAAGCATTTCAAAACAACAGAACTGAAAGCAAAAGCTCACAAACATACCCATGATACATCAGACACTGCGGATGTTCTTCTGGCTGGCATAGAAGACCGCAGCAATAAGATGATGGCCCTCCAGCAGCAAGTGCTAGAGAGATTGCGACCAGTCAGCTCCGACAGGGAAAGAGACGTATTTGTTGACTGGATACGCACGGTTATTACGGAGCTAGATCACGTCGTTTGGTGGCGATGTCAGCAAGTCATCAGTAACGCTCTCTACAGGTACATGGCAGAGAATTACCAGATAAAGAGAGCACAAAGCGTCCCGACTCCAGTGATACAACCGCAACTAAGACAACAGATGCAACCTCTGCAAGCACCATCTAGCAGCTACTCCGCATCATGTCAACCACCACCATCTCAATGGCATGCCCAGCGTTCGTCAAACGTTTCTGTGTGGCAGTCACAAGATGTCAATTGGGTTTCACAACAGTTTCCTCAACCGCGACAAAACATGTCCCAACTTCAGCCTATTCGATCTTCTTACGCTGGTCCAAGTGTGCCAGTATCGGGATTGGATGGTATCTCCAACAGATATATGACTGCATCACCTTTACCCACAAGACACGCAGATAATTCGCGCACCAGTCAGTCTTCTTTTCATCTGAGTGATTAGAGAAACAGTTCAGACCCGGATCCAGACAATGCTTAGACACAATACTACGTATTTGAATTAGTATCTCATTTTGTGTTATTCATTCAGACAGAGAGTCTTTATAGTCTAGACAGTTATTATACTGGGTTTAATCATTAAGTTGATTGTTTATTCTTTAGAAAGAAATAAAGTGTACGATTTTGGCTGATTTTTATGGTATGCTTTTTACCGCATTTCTGGAGATGCATACTATGATTTAAAGGAAAAAAAAAAGAAACGTGTCAACTTACAGAAGGGTTAAACATAACATTAAAACGGTGACTACGTGACAGATTAGATTGAACATTGACAAGTTGATTTCTACCTAGCTTTGATTCCCCATTTACTACCTTTTGATACTTAATGGACTCCACAACATAATCTTGAAGACATCTTGCATACATGACCGAATGTAGCACCCGGGTATCCGCTGATGTATACATTTTACAATATGAAAGAAAATCAAGGGATATACAAACAACGCCCATGATTTGATACATGCAAACGACCATCCATGGGTCTTCATCGAACATCGCGATTATCAATCACAAAACAAACAAAAACACACACACACATACATACACGTACACGCAGTTTCCCGTTAAGGAAAAATTGCAAAACTGTCCATTTTACTTGTTTCCCAAATTTATTTTTCTCCGCAAAAGAGATTTCTTGTGCATAGATTAAAACCTATCTGTCTATCCGTCCGTCTGTATGTCTGACTATCCAAAATGTGCTATCCATAAATGATATCAAAATCAATTTGAAGATTGTTATGAAACTTGTTGAGATGGTAGATAATTATATAGCGATGTGTATATTATAAGGGATATTTTCTATTTAGGTTTTGGGGAATATAAAATTGAAGGATGTATGCACCTTTTTTATAAAGATTAGAGGAAATGTTGTGTAAAGAACGTTATTTCTTTTGGTTACTAGTATTCACATGTGTTTTGATAATATTTTAGTAACTATTTTTATATTCATATTTTAGTTATTAATATTTTTAAGCTTAATTACAATATTTATTGAATACAACAAAAAATCTTTATGACAAACACAATGAACGATAAAAGATATATAAATTTATTGTGATGTTACCATACGTTCCTGCCATGGTACAGATCCAGCGGGGCTATTGAAATATAATTTTAAGTATTCTCTCTGTTTCGTTGCTGCAACCGTGTCCCTTTAAGGGTCTACTACACTGTTAACCTCATGTATGTTTGCATTAGCTCGCCAAAGACCCGATACAAGATTGTGAAGGTCGTCTTCCATGTTGGACATTTTGCAGGTTTGGATATCGCATCCTCATTAAATTGTGCAAACATACACAAGTTTCCATTATGACACTCACTGTGTCTGGTACTTGCATCATAGTGGTAAGAATTGTTTGCCATCTTTGTGCCGATATACCGAATGCATTTTCCACCATTCGTTACTCCTGGAAATTCTGTAATTAGTTAAAGCTTGTTCTTTTGACATTCCACATATGGAATATGGCTTCACCAAATGCGTCCTCAACTCAAATGCTTCGTCACTTAATAGAAAGTATGGCATGTTCTGGTCATCATTAGGCAATGGATCCTGTTCTGAAAATTCAATTTTCCCATCTTCTAAACATTCCTTCAGTTCGGATGCATTGTATATTTGGGCATCTTAATTGGAACCATATCCGCCAACATCAATCCATAAAAACTTGTAGTCAGCATCAACCAAGGCAAGGAGTACCAGTGAGATAAAACCCTTGTAATTGTTGTAAAGAGATTCAGTTTTAGGTTGGGCATCTAATAGCAACATGTTTGTCATCTAATGCACCACACGCATGTGGAACGTTCCATCTCTTCTGAAATTCGTCTGCAATAGCCCGCCAATCATTTGGGTCAGTTGGACATGAAATCACCTCATCTTTATATTTTTCAACTATTGCTCGGCAAAACTCGGGTAAAAATATGCTTATAGTATTTCAATCATCTCTAAAGTCATACTGCAAGGTCGAATACTTGTCACCAGTAGTTAAATGTCTTAAAGTGATGGCAAGTTCAAGACCAGGCGACAGGGCTCTTCTAAATAGAGTATCTGTCTTCTTTATTCTTTGATCAACTCTTTTAAGAAGTTCATCGAACATCTTTGGTGGCATTCTCAAAAAGTTAAAGAAGGACGGTTCATCCTCGATTTGTTACTCGTTCATCAACTGATCATAATGACCGACTGGAGTCTCCTTTCGGTTGATAACCAAGGACGAATCCAACAGGACCTACGCCGTGTAACATTTCTTGGTATTCTTCTTCTTCCCTCTCTCAATAACAAATTATGTCCTGAGATTAAGATTTTGTATCTTTGTTAATGATTGTAGAAACATTACTACATGCACATGGTCTTGTGTTTCTATGGTTCAATTGAAATTGATGTTTCAAACAAAACATGGAGAGCTTTTATACATTTTATGTGACAATGACAATGAGCATGACTAGAACTCGAAATGGTCGTAGTATGAACGAAGTCAGGTCGTAAGAAGAGCGTGATGAGGAAGGCATGAGCGTGCTAGAATCGTACTATGGTCTTAAACAGCGTGGTATAAACGTGGTATAGTCGTAGTAGAAGTGTGGTTGGGTCGCGGTGAGAACGTGATGGTCGTAGTAAGGTCCTAGTAACGTCGGTGTGAAATCGTAGCACAGTCTCTCCGACTAGAATCGCGCTTTCGCTACGCTCTCGCTACGCCCTCGCTACGATGGTACATAAACCTTTGGATTCTTACCACGACCTTACTGCGCTCTCACTACGCTTCTACAACGACCTGATATCGCCACGACCGCACCACAATTGTTTTGAACATGTTCAAAGTTGGTCCACGCTCAACACGACCTTACTGCGATCTACACGATGGCACTACGATCGTCAAAATTTGCATTTTTTTTCAGAGATCGTAGTGCAAATGTTGCCTAGTGTGACGGGGGTATAAAAAATGTGGCAAAAACATAACATAGTTTTAATTTTATTAATGACATAACCATCAGATCAATCCTTCACATTTTTAATGGATATGTCATTATTGAAAAACAAACATTGAAACTTTTTACCTTGTAAAAAAAAAGACTTGGTTTTGAACAAAACGTGGAAACCTCAAATGCGTCTGATCTCTTAAACTGCATTCATCAGATCCCTTCAAATTCCACGAAGAAATAAATATATTATTTGTTCGTTTTGTGGCTAAAACATGTAAGATAATTACTATTAATTTGAATTTTTGTGCATGTTGTAGGTACTTATTCAGCCATTGCCTTTTCAATATAAAATGTTTTTCGCAGAAGTGATAGTCCGTAATTCTGCGATTGCAGCTCTTGTTTACTTTCTTTCAATGATTCTCCCCGAACGGAAAGTAGACCCACCAGGAATTAATGAGAAACACATGAAGGAAATGTATGATTACATTGTTGGTAAGTGTTTAACACATCTATTTAATACAAGATAAGAATTATATATACGATAATTCTAGTAGGCAATCCTCGGGTGAATTCGGTACTCTCGGCCGAGTTTAGACGAGTGAAGATATCTCATGTTTGTGTTCATAATGAACATGATGAAGGTAGTAGTTATACGTAATTATGTTGGTTAAGTTTTTTTTTTCTTATGATTGATGGTCTGTGTTTTAAAGGATGAAAAATGTAAAGCTTCTATACGATAAGATTTCCTATATTGAAAAAGATAAATATATGATAAATGGACAGAGAGCTTACTTAAAATCATGTATCGAATATTTCGTTTTATGTGGCAATGTTAATGTTCCAAACCAAGTTAACTATAAGTGAATATTAACCGGTTTGAATTCACGATTTCAAAACAGTTCAAACGAAACACTCTCCGTGATTAATCCCCATGAGTAGGTCAGTCAAGATCACAACTATCTCACGAAAAATGATTAAAACAAAAATGTTATACTTTAGGCGATGCTGTGGTTAATGGAAATGATCTTAGCTTCTGTGTCAATTTTTTCAAACATCTTTCGTTCGTAGTCAAATATCCATGTTTGGGAAAAATAATCATGGCATTATATGTTAAGATCCCATTGATTACTCAAAGGATAAACTGACAAGAGATAACCTTTTGTGTCTTAAAAAGTATATTTTTAGACAATTAAATACACAAATACTCTAATGCAGGAATTTTATAATAAATTAGCTAAGTTGGAATCTAACCCATTTCTACATCATTTAGGAGACAGATTAATAAAAGCAATTTAGGAGACAGATTAATAAAAGCAATGTAGGAGACAGATTAATAAAAGCAATGTGTGCTTGTTTCTGAATCCTATTTATTCCATGTATCAGAATTGTATACTATGTATTGATTTAACTGAATAAAATATTGTTTAAACTAACCCATTTCTATTATATTGATGACTAATTTCTAATTTCTAAGAATATCACCCATTATTTCTATGAAATATTTCAATAAATTTACTTCTGCACACCGATGATATTGTCTCACTATCCGAGGCAAAACAAGACTAACACAATAAAATAAATAAGCTAGAATTCTGTTGTGAACATTTTTGTGAAGAAGTAAATCTTAAAAAAGACAAAGTTTACAATGTTCAATACATCTGGCAGTATAAATCATAGATGCACAGCTCTATATGAAAAGACACAAACACCCAAAATACACAACTTTCTTAATTGTGTTACTTTAAATGAATCAGGCGGCTTTTGGAAACCAGATATGGTTTATATAAGATAGGTTTAATAGGGGCATTAGCTGTCAAATTGATGATCACCGATTTTAATCAAACTCTCATATTTTATTTATATCATACTGAAACGTACATCCAAACTACGAAAAGCAAAAAGAAAACAATCAACAAAGCATGCTATAATTAGTCAACAATTGGAGTATATTATAAACAAGACGCCATCTCATTTACCAACGAGATGATATCCGTAGACATGGTAGAATGCCAAAAGTATATGTCCCGATATAAACATTAATATAAATATAAATGATTCTTATTATAAATTTGAAAATACTTTGAACAACCAACGACAAATATATTTTACTCCCGTAGTGGTATTAACCATATATGGATTCTTAAAAATTCTAAAGAACTTCTGGACAATTTTAAATCTCGGTCTATTTCTGAAATTAATTCTAACATAACTTTTGATTTTTTAACCCTGTATACCAACATTCCCCATGTGAAATTATAAAATTGTTTTAAATAAACATTGAATGACAAAATTTCTTCTTAAGTGACGTTTACATTTTTTGACGTCAGACACGCGAAGCAATGAATGTGGTTTTTAATTTGATAGATGCTTTTGTTCTTTTTTGTAAATAATTGTTTGTTTTGATATTGTAACACAATGATGACTGCTGTACCCATATTTTGATTATTTTATTTATAATGTCTGTTTTGTTCACACATCGTTGTAAATATAACGGAATTTGATAAGACTGTCGTACAAGTGAGAGGTTTAGCGCTATAAAACCAGGTTCAATCCACCATTTTCTATATTTGAAAATGCCTGTACCAAGTCAGGAATATGACAGTTGTTATCCATTCGTTTGATGTGTTTTGTCATTTGATTTTGCCATGTGATTAGGGACTTTCCGATTGAATTTTCCTCGGAGTTCAGTATTTTTGTGATTTTACTTTTTTTTTTTATATGATTGATATATTAGGAAAGACGCTTATGTGATTGCCAATTATATGACACAAATATACAATTTACGTGTGATAGCTGAAACGAGTGGGGAAAATAAATTCCTTATCTCCAATTTAAAACAATTACAAGGATTAAACGCCTTTTTGTTTTAGATGGGTGTCTTAATTAAAATCTATAGATTTTTTTTTATAATTTGTCAAAATGTAGTTTATATTATTTTTGTTTCCAAAATATGACAAAAAGTATGGGTCACCGGGCTTTTTTTTTTACGCTACAGGTTGTGCAAAATTGTCAGATTTTGTATAAATTATGAATGGAAAACCCAATTTTGTGTTATTAAAAAAAAAACTACACCATAGAATGTTAAGATAAAATATGAGAAGATAACTCTAATAATATGCTTATAAGAAAGAGAAAAAATGGGGTCACCGGACTCGTTTTCTTGCTAAATTTTAAAATAGGTAAATTCACAACACATTCTATCTATAATTTATAAAAATTATTTTATCTGATTTATCTCCCCTTATGTGAAAAAGTTGAAAAATAATAATCAAACAAAAATATTCTGTTTTTTTTTTTTTAAATACAGCTGTAAAATACATAATTTTCGATATTAACATGAACAGTCTTACACATGAATTACATACTACTCACGAAATTTGCCCATTTCCTTTGAGATCAAGACCGATTGTTATCTGCTATTTCAAAATCTAAGACGGAGGAAGACACCCCAGCTACCTTAAAGGAATTTATTGGTGCATCAACTGGACCAAGTCACTCTCAAACATATCAAAAGGCGTTTAATCCTATAATTGACAGACACGCACGTGGAAACGTATGATAACGACTTTTCTAGTTCTATCTGATCTTATGTCATAGATTATAAAAGAGCATTGGTTTTTTTTTTCCTGTATTTGATTATTTTTTGTTGTTGGTCGAATCAGTCGACAACATGGATAGTTCGATGGCTCGCTTGTTTTACTAATGACATTATTTTCATTTAACAACTAAGCATGCTTATCACATGCGTAAACTATCGCTAGTTGAGGGTTATATGGAATGCAGCATCAATATGAGTTCAAATGAATCATTGATATGTGTGTCTTAATCGTATATAATGCTCATGTGACATATTTAATGAAAAAACTATTCATTTTTTCCTTTTAATTAAAATTCTCCACTCAAACGCATATTTTTTTTATCTGGCTATTTATAAGGCTCCGGATAATTGGGTGGCTTTCATTCACTGAAGCTAAACTATCACACAAAACTGAATTGTTCCGTAGACTTAGCAGAGATTTAATAGAAAAAAATAAGTACTTTCAAAATATCTGCAAAAGAAATAAGCACTTAAAAATATGGCCGTATTTTGGAGAATTAGATCTTTACCCCCTACATGTAATGGTAGGTATTTGAACAAACAGGATAAAATATTTTAAACAATATGCTATCACAAATTGCACCCTATCTCTCGTACGTGTGATATACATATAGATGTGGTGCATTTCTGTTAAGGTTTGTCTGGTGTTAGAAATAATCTTGTTGACAAAATGTTTAACATAGATAATACAATTCAACAATTGAATACACATTTCTTTTTTATTTGCATAATGTTCCTAACAGACAAGGACAATGTTATATTGGCAATGATTTGTCAAATATTGGTCGTGTAAAATGAAAGCAACAATAAAGTATACATTATATTATTATGTTATGCTGCTTTGAGTTAAAGAGAGATAAACAACCATATATTCACTATAAATAAAAATGCAAACAAATAATATCGAGGTGGGATGTTCAGTAGATCTGCATGTCGATTGAAGGGGCCAGAGTAATAAACAATTGGTAATAAGATACATCGCGTTAGCACGACAGGATATGATTGTTTTATCCCGGTGTCAGTCAGTCCGTCCGTATGTTAATTCCTCCTGTTTTTATAATGTCGATAATAGCTTTCAAGACATTCTTCATGTCCTCAAATATTTGAATAGATTGTAACACTTTTACCATTGCAACTTTGTACTTGTTTGGTTTTATAACTATTTTGATCTGAGCGTCACTGATGAGTCTTATGTAGACGGAACGCGAGTCTGGCGTATTAAATTATAATCCTGGTACCTTTGATAACTATTTAAACCACTGGGTCGATGCCACTGGTGGTGGACGTTTCGTCCCCGATGGTATCACCAGCCCAGTAGTCAGCACTTCGGTGTTGACATAAATATCAATTATATGGTCAATTTTATAAATTTCCTGTTACAAATCTTTGAATTTTTCGAAAAACTACGGATTTTCCTTATCCCAGGAATAGATTACCTTAGCCGTATTTGGCACAACTTTTTTGGAATTTTGGGTTCTCAATGCTCTTCAACTTTGTACTTGTTTGGCTTTATAACTATTTTGATCTGAGCGTCACTGATGAGTCTTATGTAGACGAAACGCGCGTCTGGCGTATTAAATTATAATCCTGGTACCTTTGATAACTACATTTTATTTACACCACTGGGTCGATGCCACTGTTGGTGGACGTTTCGTCCCCGAGGGTATCACCAGCCCAGTAGTCAGCACTTCGGTGTTGACATAAATATCAATTATATGGTCAATTTTATAAATTTCCTGTTACAAAACTTTGAATTTTTCGAAAAACTAAGGATTTTCTTATCCCAGGAATAGATTACCTTAGCCGTATTTGGCACAACTTTTTGGAGTTTTGGGTCCTCAATGCTCTTCAACTTTATACTTGTTTGGCTTTATAACTATTTTGATCTGGGCGTCACTGATGAGTCTTATGTAGACGAAACGCGCGTCTGGCGTATTACATTATAATCCTGGTACCTTTGATAACTATTTTATGAAGATAACATGGCATTCAGAATTAGGAATATGGCTAATCCTAATAGGTCGATGTGTGCAGCCGGTATTTTTTAAATGAGTAGACACTTTGTGCACTCTGCAATATACCAAAGGCAAAATTATTTTTTTTCTTTAGCCCTAACGGAGCTGAGAGTCTGTTCTACGCTGTGGTAAGACACGTGTTTTGAGTGCAGAATTGATAGGCAAGAGTGATAAATACAAATTACGTTAAGAAAAGCAACCGGAACCTATATTGTTTTTAACTAAACAATACTGTCCTAATTATTTTTATTTTAATCTAGCAAGATTTCGTTCAAAAAGACAACTTTCGTATGTCTGTATCTCGAAAAGGGCTACTATTGACGTCTATGGAGAAAGTAATTGTTTCTGTCAATCTATACAGCGTCGATATGTCTTGATCATAAAGCTCAAAAAGCGTCAAAAACAGTAATTGTATTTGATATTTGATGTGATACAGTATTTTTTGGTGTCAAATACTAAGTACATAACTGATCATCGAGTGTTTAAGCTATAGCCCTTTTCATATATGTATTGCGTTTTACATTAAAAACAAGGGTGGGTTAGAACTTCGACTTTCTGTAGAGAGAATATGTCATTTTCTGAAATTCTACATATTTGTTTGGAAGAAGCATGCACACATCTAGAGTTTGGATATACAAATCGGTGTTAAAACATGACAATCTCGACCTAAGTGTTGTTATTGAAATTACAGAATTCAGTGAAAATTGACAGAGTAACCCCTTTATAACATTAGAATATTCAGTGACACTTGAATTTCAAACTTGAAAAGTTAGAATAGGCACACAATTCAGAGTATGACTAATCCTTATTGGTCGATGTGTGCAGCAGATATTTTTTTATTACTAGATACTTCGTGTACTCTGCATCATACAAACAGGCATACTAGTAATAATAAATTTTCTTTAGCCTGAACGGAACTAAAAAGTCTGTTCTACGCTGTTATGAGACACGTGTTTTTGAGTGCGAAATTGATAAGCACAGTATATAAGCACACATTACGTTAACAAAAGCAACGGGAACCAATACATTTTTTTTTTACTAAAAATACTGTCCTTATAATTTTTCTTTAATTCTAGCAAGGTCTCGTTCAAAAAATCAATTTTCTATATATATATGTATAGTCTGTGTCTCGAAAGAGGCTATTCTTGTCGCCTATCGGGACATAAATTGTTTTTTGCAATTTATAGCAACAGTTGTCTTTAGGACGACCATACCGCGCCGCCATTTCTTTTGAATTAATTCGATAAATCTTGTCTTAAATCAGATTTCAAATGTTCTCACATAACCTAACAAACGTGATATATGTGATGAATGTATTGTGGAAAAGTTAATAAACATATGTATTACTGTTTATACAATACAAACTTTGCAAATGCATTTTTACTTCAAAAATGTTTTTAGCGAAACATATTTTGCTTTGCTAACTTTCTGAAGTTGATGATTTCCGAAAGGGACATTTCCTTTCTTCGCAATAGATTTCAGCTTATTCGATAACATAAATATGCATACGTAATTATAGATTTTGTTAATTATATTTTCTAGTAGGAGCTGGTTCAGCTGGTAGTGTTGTTGCAACTCGATTATCGGAGGATTGTGAAACTTCAGTTCTTTTGATGGAAGCTGGATCATCTGATTTGGAACCTGATGACGTAACTCAAATACCATTTTTGTGGTATTCCCTTATAGGTTCAGAGAAAGATTGGGGATATCGTTCAGTACCACAAAAATATTCACATTTTGCTTACAAGAATGAGGTATGTATAATTGTTTGATATAATTTGTGTATACATTAATATGATTAAGATGAAAATTTGGAGGGGTCAGCATTTAAAAAGTTTTACAAGATGTTGTGACCAACTTTATTCAATATAATAAAAAAAAATCTCTGGTTTAAAGGGGTAGACCTTGGGTATGGGTGACAACCCTTACACATGTATTTAAAGTAATTTGTTTTTTTAGTGTAAACAATATAATTGTATTATGAATAATACAAATTACAATATACATTCACATTTACAAATAGGACTCAGAAACACGCAACAAGTGCTTATGTTAATCTGTGTCCTTGTTTAATTGGATGCAATATACACAATTAAATCAAAACTCTATGCTCTGTTGCATAATAAAAGGAACTGAAAAAGAAAAGGAAAATATAACTAAGAATTTGGGGTGTTTTTCAACTTTGCAGTTATTGAAACAGTGATCAAACATTTATGTTGTTTGCATTTGGTAATGAGAATGATACAGGAGCATCTAAGAAAAGTTAACAAGTTTGATTCCAACGCGCATTACATTATTGAATTCATTTTTGTAAAGAATAAAAAAAGCAAAAGCAAAAAAGGTAGAAAACTGAGGAGTTTTTGAAATGACTTCTGACATTATTGAGATAAATCGTTAACAGATTTGGAAACAAATTGAATTGAAAACAAGTGGATCGTTGAACAATGCAGTAATAAGGTTTTGGCGCTAAGCTATTGGTTGATAGAATGTACTTACCTGCATGTCTTTGGTTTTCAAACACAAAAGCAATATTTTTGAAGATATGATCTTAACGTCAAGCATAGTGCAAACTACTGGTAACACATAACCTACAAAAGCACAAAAATAGTACTAAGATAGTGACAGACTGGAAATAAACGTCTACGTAATGGACGACGGGGGAATTTTGTAGACTTGGGGAAGGAAACCTTTTTTTTTCCTTTTAAAATTAACCCTAGTTAGTTATTATTTTGATTCCTGGGACCATCCAATTTTCACTCAAGCACGCATAAATAATGCAAAAAGAGATTGTAGAAAGTTTTGTTGGGAAAAAGGAATGTTGTCCAAAATGAATTTTTTTTCTTATGTCTGTAAACATTTTTTTTTTTAAGGTTTTGTAAATTCCAAACGGTCAAAATCAACAAAAGTTGTGATTTTCAAGGTTTATGAACAATAACTATTTCAGTATTTTTTTGCAAGAATGAAACCCTTTTTTTTTTCTTATTTTTTTGACAAAGTTTGAAAAAATAATGTGTTATTTTATGGCTAGAACTTTCGACTTTAGACTTGTTCACTGATTCTAAAACATTTATCTTTAACCTCAAAGATGTGAAATCAAAACCTCCGGATTGCTCATGTGCATCGTAAATATACAATTATAGTCAAACTGGTCATGTTATTACTGGCGACCTTGGCATCGTAACCAATGAACAAATAAGAGAGTTGTTAGCCAAAATATAGAATTCCCCAGTCTTTCAACTGGAAAAAGAACTTCAGGTTACTGATGGATGTAGTTGAAGACTATATGTCAGAAAATGGGTAAAGCGCGAGCCAGATGAACCAGAACTGGACACTTTGTCTGAATGGATTAAAGCTTTTCGATCATACCTTCAGAAACGCATTCAGAAACTACGATGTACTATGTTCAAGAACCCGGAGGTTGTGAATGCTTTATCATCTTTGCATGACAAATATTGCGTTGTTCCAGCAGATAAAGCCTCCAATACTTTTGTCCTTATATATAAAAACCATTACTTGGAATGTCTCACAAAAGAGTTTGGAATAAACAACATACCTGGTAATCCTACATATTCATTTACATCATTTACAAAGGATGAACTTTAACAAAATCACAAATCTGTCCTTCTTTTTTTTTTGGTATTAACATCAAAGAAAACGAAGAAAATATACCGTCATTATACTGGATACCAAAACTTCACAAAACTCCTTATAAAGAACGATACATAGCTGGATCATCAAGATGTTCAACTAAACATCTTTCTAAAGTGCTGACTACTATGCTTTCTTCAGTAAAAGATGGTCTTCAAAAATATTGTGATGAAATATATTCAACCAGTGGTGTCAATCAGATGTGGATTCTTAAAAATTCTAAATATCTATTACTAAATATAAGATCACAATCTCTACAATTTTGCAGCAACATTTAAACTTTTGATTTTTCTACGCTTTACAGTACTATTCCCATGCTGAATTGAAAGATCGACTTCACCATCTCATTAAACAGAGTTTTTTTCTTTAAAAATAGGAATCGTAGATATAAATTTCTTGTTTTGGGTTACAATAATTTTTATTTTGTGAAGAACCACACTGATCATACTGATTCTATCAGAAAATATTTTGAAGATGATATTATCAAAATGCTGGACTTTTTGATCGACACTATATTTATGAGTTTGGAGGATTGATATTTCAACAGACAGTCGGTATACCAATGGGTACCAATTGTGCACATTTACTGGCCGATTTGTTATTGTACTCGTATGAAGCAGAATTCATTCAGAACCTTCTAAAAGACAAACAGAAAAAGCACCTTGCGAAATTCTTTAATTTTACTTTCAGATATATTGATGATGTCCTATCACTGAATAACCCATATTTCAGTCAGTACTTACATCTCATATATCCCAGTGAACTTGAAATTAAGGATACCACTGATACTAGAAGGACTGCTTCATACCTTGATCTTTTCCTTAATATTCACACAGATGGACGACTTCACACTAAAATCTATGACAAACGGGACGATTTCAACTTTCAATTATCAATTTCCCATTTCTCAGCAGTAACATACCCTCTGCTCCATCGTATGGTGTTTACATATCTCAGTTGATACCATATGCTCGTGCATGTTCACACTATACGGACTTCATATACAGGAGTGTGCTCTTTACGCAGAAACTGCTCCAACAGAGTTATATGGAGGAAAGATTAAAAATGACACTCCGTAAATTTTATGGACACCATCACGAATTGGTTGATCTATACGATGTGTCTATGCCTAAACTAACTAACGACATTTTTTACCACGTCTTATATTGTGGTTTACCATCTACGTCGCTTGATTTGCTAAGTACCGAACGTGACCTTTTCCCGAATATGACTGTTTTGTCGAGTGTGAATTCGCATTGCTATTAGATGTGTCTCGGTATTTATACATCCAACATTCATGTATATAGTTATGATGTTTCTTTTGTAAGTCTTGTTAGATACTGTGCTATGTCTTATCGTTTGTGGTTTCAATTCTATTTTTATTTTCTATATGTATGTTAAAGTTAAGATAATTAATCAGCTAGTTCATTTATATGATTTTTAGTTTAAAGCAACTATATGCACATGATTTATTTGTTTTTACACAGTTTTGATTTAGAAGAAAAACCGACATGGTTAGATAATACAAATAATTACACCATTACTAACACAATTCTATTATATTAATGTTCGTGTGATGGTTAGAAAATACATAATAACACCATTACACACTTAATAACAATTTTAAATTCCAGTTTTAGAAATTTACCAATGACGTCACTTTTTGTGGCGTTGATACATTCGTGCGATGCACAGTTCATAACTCTATTGTGGTGTACTGGTGTACTGTCGTAAATTAATGGGAGGTGTCCGTTGTATTATGTGGTTTTTATGTTGTAATATACTATTATCTTATTTATCTATATATTTCACTGTCCTGAGTGTTCTTGCATTTATTTGTACTGTATTCCTGTCACGTAATGTTGTCATTTTAGCGGTATTTTTAACATTGCCATATTAGCGGGAGGTTTGGCTAGCCATATAACCAGGATCAAACCACCATTTGTTTTCTCTTGAAAGTACCTGTACCAAGTCAGGAACATAGCAGTTGTTATCAAATAGTCAGTTTCTATGTATGTTGGAGTTTGTTTTTGTAGCAGTACAGTGTTTCTGTTGTTCCGTTGTTTTTCTCTTATAGTTCATGTGTTTCCCTCGGATTTGGTTTGTGACCCGGATTTGTTTTCGTTTAGTCTTTTTATGACTATTGAACAGCGTTATACTACTGTTGGCTTTATTTGTGGTTACCAATGCGTATACCTCTAAACATGTTAAACGGAAAAAAAAGCAAATCGACAAAGAATAAAACGCAATATTTCCTAACAGTGCAGCAGACATTGATATCCTAAACGACATACCTTCAAAGTCAAGCATACGGTTTTGAAGAGAAAGTCGAATACTACATGTACTAGTTCCACTTTGTAAATATTATTTCTATTAAAGAATAATTTAATTTTGGATGTAACACGTCTTCTGATTGGCTGAAAGTGTTTTGTCTATCAGCTCATAGACATAATTTTGTCATGTGACCACGACGTCATCAACGTTTTTATCATGATTTACTCCTTTTTAAAATTAAATTATAAGGAATGACTTAAATATTTTTTCTGTCTATTCGAAATAACATAAAAAATGTGGTGCACACTTTAAAATAACCCGCTACGTGGGTTATTCAGTGTGCACCACATTTTTTATGTTATTTCTTCATAGACAGAAAAAATATTACAGTCATTCCTTAATTGAAAAAAACGATAATTAATTAATTAATTAACAAATTGTATAGAATTAATTCACTTATGTATTTTCAACATGTCATAGCCAAAATCCGGTCCTCTTTCAATCTATTTTGACGTCATAATTAATTGCGACTAGGTATGCATTTTTTAATTGAAATTAGCAATATGACGAATTGATATAGTGATATGGTCCCCTATCAGAGCAGGTGTATTTTTATCTTCGGTTTTTGATGTGTTTCATGGGATCGACCCTTTATGTTTATTTGCAGTGTTTTGTCAACTGTTGTCATGTCTAGACATGTTCGTGTATGTTTTGGCGCAAATACAAAGTTTCAATCCTGGTATCTATGAGAAGTTTATTCATTAGTTTGTATTTCCTCCTTTCAAAATACACAAATTTGAGATAAAACATGTGAAATAAGTAACTGATCAATACATAAATTTCCATTCTTATTTTTAAGTTTTATTCCCTTGTTCGGTGTCATATTTTTTTTGTGTTTTTCATCTCATCGTTTATTATTTTACAGGCACTATATAGCACACTAAATTTCCGCGAATGAAATTTAAGAAAATGCCTGTACCATCCCAGGAATATGACAGTTGTTTTCCATTCGTTTGATGTGTTTGAGCTTTTGATTTTGTCAATTGTTAAGGGGCTTTTTCATTTTGAATTGTCCTTGGAGTTCGGTATTTTTGTTGTTTTACTTTTAAAAGGCCGCTCTTCTTGTTCCTAACATTGAAATCATCTGGAAATCAATCGTATTTGGAGAAAGGTCGACATACATTAATCGAAGAGTAAATGAGACGCAAATAATATTAAAAACTGGTCATTTATACCATGTTAGTGATAGGCACATATACTTATCCAACAATAATCTCTAACAGACTGTCAAATTATTGGCATATACAACAATACTTAATGTTTTAACAGGAAGTCTTTCTATTAAAATAGATAAGTTACATACCTCAAGGCAAAGTACTTGGAGGATCCTCGTCAATAAATGGACAAAACTTTGTGAGAGGCAGTCGTAACAACTATGATCAATGGAAACAAGAAGGAGCAGTCGGATGGGGATATGATGATGTGCTGCCCTACTTCAGAAAACTTGAAAATGCTACACAAACATCATACAGAGACTCAAGTAGGTTATACCTATCGAGTTATGAGAACAGTCTTATTGTGTTATATTTAGCGCCAGAACATATACAAAGCCCCTTAAAAGAAAACATACAACTAATTGGAAAACCGTTGAAAAACACATTTTTTCTACATTGCTGTATGCATATAAGGACAGTGTACACACAGAACCTAATCGGATTGATATCTTTTTATAACTATCCAAACTCTTAATAGATGAGATATTTCAATATTTTCTGTTTTAAAGTTAATGATTAAATAAACTAGAACAGGAAACTTATGATGTCATTTAAATTGGCATGCCGTACACAAAAACAATAACATGAATTACAAGCGTTTTTGTAAGTTTTTAAGAATTTTAGTAAACTTAGGAAAGGTTGTGTCGATCGCATACAACAAAATTTTTCCAAAAAATATTGTTTATAGAGTTTATGTGTTTTAACAACAATCACCATTTACAGATTTTCTTTGTTCTATTTATACTTTTTAAAAATTTTGCCACTTTTTGGTGGAGTTCGTGTTGCGCAGTCTTTGGTTTTCTATGTTGTGTTTTGTGGACAGTTGTTTGTCTTTTTGTCTTTGTCTTGCCGTGGCGTTTTCAGTTTGTTTTGGATTATGAGATTGAATGTCCCTTTGGTATATCTTTAACTTCTCTTTTTTTAAACGTTCTTGAAATTAGTGTTTAACAATGCTACTCAACTTCGTAATAGTTTTGACCTCTCATTTGTTTTGATTAGAGTGCAAAAGACGGTATAACATACTTAATTATGAGTCTGGTACCTTGAAGGCCTTTTTTAAAGGAATCTTTGTCTCATAAGGTATGACCAGCTATCAGAAATGCAATATCATAGTTGTGATTTTTTCTGTCAATCAAATGTTCATAGAAAGTAAACATCACTGACACACTTAGGTTGACATACCCTAAATATACAGGCCGTAGCCAAATTAGGCACAACCTTTTTGAATTTTTAGATAGTGCTTTTCAAATTCGAAATAGTTTTCATAATTTGATTGGAGGTGGAAGAACGTCTGACGTAAGAAGCTACAACCTTGTTATCTTTGGCGAATTTTTAAATTATGCATATCGCTTGCATGGTTTAATCAATCAAAACATATTTGAACTAATTTGAACATTCTGGACATTAAGATTTTGTCTCGCCGGAGACGGCAACGGCTGAGGCGTTGGCGTAAACAATTGTAAAATTTTCTGCTGAAGTTAGTTTGATAGGAACTACAGTAACTTGTGATAATTCATTGATATTTAACACAAAGTTGCATTACTATCAGTACATATTAGTTTGACGACTATTTTGAGGCCTGGCCTCCTAGATCATGGTTCAGCAACTTTGAATTAACTTGCAATTTTCAATGTTAAGCTTTCGGCTTAAGTTAGTTTGATAGGAACTACTTGTGATAGATCATTGATATTTAATATGAAGTTGCATAACTATCAGTACACTTCAGTTTGTCGACCATTTCGAGGCCCTGCCCACAAGATCATGATACAGGTACTTTGAATTAATAGGCAATGTCGCTGTCCTTCAGATTGTCCTTTTCTGCATTTTATGCCGAAAGGCAAGACATATCTCTGTGTCAACAGTTTATTTTTTAATCATCTACAGAAATTGATTTTCAATAATATATATAAGTTCAAATGTTTTATAGCTTTACGAGGACTTCATGGACCTATAGTAATAAAAGAGACTAATGGGAGTATTTTACAGTCATTTCACCATACAGCGGCAATGGAAATTGGTTTTTCTACAGTAGATTGTAATAGCGATAATCCGATAGGTAGATTAGTATTTAGTATTCAGGGCGATCATATAAAAACTGTAACTTAAACAGTAAGTTACCTATATTCAAATCTAGATAATCTTTAAAGAATATACACTTCCAAATGAAAACATGAATAAATAGCTGAACTCAAAGCAGAGTGAAAGTGGTTGTGTCAACAAGGTTAGTGCCTCCTGCTATGTATGCATTATTCGCCATGCATCAACACATTTAACAGTCCATTGCTGTTATAGAGATGTTTTAAGGTCCATCGCATCATGTAGCATTGATATGCGGGTAAAATCATAATACTATTGGTAAATATGATATCTTAGGAATTGCATGAATGTGTTCATTACGGTTAATCTGATATTTTTACGGTAAGATTACGTTAGATACACTTGTAGATATCAAATTATCACAAATTTGTAACATGACGAATCAACATGCAGAATTAGTAGAAACTTAGGTTTTTTTTTGCCCAGTGTGGACGACACGTAACTTTGGAAGCTATACATGTATGCAATGCGTACAATTTTGAAATTTATACATTTTTGTATTGTGTGATTTAGGGATTGTGAATGAACGTCTAGTTCTTTATTTCTTAAAGAGTTAAAAGGTACCAAGACTTACAGATATATATTTAGTATAAACTTCACATCTAATACAGGAATTTCTTGAGTTAAACATTCTGGGTGGTGATGTTGAGTATCATTTAACATGTTTGATTTACTTTGCAGTTTTCCCTTTATTTGCTTTTGTACTTTTATGTTTCTTTTGATTTAGAATAACCGTGGAACTAGGTTTGTTTTTTGTTTTTGTTTTTTTTTGGGGGGGGGGGGGGGGGCGTGGAAGGGGGGGGGAGGTGGGGCTTTACATTTTTTTCAAGACCATAATGTTGGGAAATTACTAAATAATCCGAAGTAGTCTTTTAAGAACAGCGATTACCGTCATAGGTCAAAATCTGATGAATTAACTGCTCGGTAAAGGTTGCCTAAGCCGATTTGGCACATATTTTGGATTTGTTCTGCATTGCTCTTTAACATCGTGTTTGCTTTTCGCGAGGGTATTAGTAGCCAAATAGTCAGCACTTTGTTATTGTAAGATAATTTCAGCTACAATTCTTGAAAGGAATAATCAGATCACGGATTTCATTATTTACTTGAACGATGTGTCAATACTGATATCAAAATGTCCAAAATATGGACACAATAAAAAAGTTGTAATGCTGAAATACCTTTCAAGTCTTACCTTGTAGTGACTATTACCATGTATTACACCTGTAGTACTTGTGGCAATTCCGAAAGACCAACACAAATACACAAAATGTGATTTATATCAGCTCGGATTATCTGTTAAACTAAAAAAAAAAAAAAAAACAGCACATACATAATGACATTTTTTTCAAATAATGAAAATTATAAGAGAAATATCATATCTTGAATTTAGATGTTTTTTGGTTTCTGTTTTATTCAACCTTTCCTATATATTTGTGTAAATTGTCTTTAACTAACACTTATGTTATATTTATCATTGTTTATCAGGAAATAGTTAAATATATACTATTACATTTCATATTTTCTTTTGTTTACTATTAAAAATCTATAACGGAAGAAAAAAAAATTGTTTTACTAAATGAAATGTATTTTACATCAAATAGGTTTCTGTAAAAGTCAGACAAATGTCAAAAACGGCAAACGTTGCAGTACATCGGCCTGTTACCTTCGGCCAGTTTTAGAAAGACGTAACTTGCAAGTCAGTTTGCGGTCTCATGTCACTAAGGTACATATGTTTTATTATGTTTCACTTTAAATTTTCAATGATCATGTTAAATTTTAAATATACAAATATAATCGAAATTTAGAGGTGGAAAGTAACAAAGTAGAAACAATAGTTATATTGAAAATATAGCTATATAGCCTATTATAATTTTGTTTATGAAATAAACAGTTATGCCGGTCTGTGAATGGATTGAATTGACATCATATTGCTTTGATTAACTGTTAACCGATTACAAATTAGCTGAAAAATAATTTGGATCACGACTTAAACTGTTTCAAAACGGAGCTTATGTTTTCCTTATTGCTCAGTGAATATTGTGTACAAGAACTCTTGATAACTTTTTCACAGGAAAAACGTAGGCTTCATTAAAAATACAAGTCGCATGGAAACGCAATCAGGTAACAAATTAAGGAAAACGTAATTTTAAATATTGTTCCTGACCTTTAAAGCTATGCTTAAGCAGTTAACCCTGCATAGTTACTCCTGAAAGTAAGATGTCCATGTAGCCATAGTGACTTATTTACACAATTAGAGATGTGATTATTGTTTCAGGCAAAAGCATGCAAAATTTTCAACGATTTTTAATCGCAATGCATAACCAAGTGATACATTATAGTTTTACTTTGAATATCACTCTATTAATCACTTTGATACGTAATCCATAGCGCACATATGTGTCCGTTGTCTACACAAGTAATAAAACGACTGTGGCCAGGAAAGCATGACAACCCGCAGTTTCAACGTTAATGAGGTTAATTTGAATTTGACGCCTAGCGTTAACAAAAAAGGTTAACATTTGTCTACTATGAACATAATTGCTGGTAAATTTTACCCAAACAAAAACAAAAACACTAAATAAAACTGACTTATATTAAATGGGAAGGTTTAACCAGCCATTAACTTAAGCCCACACGACAGAGCTACAGGGGAGGTAATGACGTCGCTAAAGTAAAATGTTGTATTTCGCGACGTCAAACTGTGACATATTGGGAACGAGATGCATTTTTTTATTGATTTTAATTATTAGCTGGAAAACGAGTACTAGGACCCCTTTTTTAAAATGGCATTTGGCTTGATTATGTATGAAGATAATTAGTACCATTTAAAACAAAAAAAAACCGATGAATTTCCCTTAAATTAAATAAATGTACAGCAAAAAATGCTGTTTTTTTTTTCTAAAATCTTGAAAATTTACTAATTTTTTATTTGAACTTTAGCACAAATTTATAAGTATAGATATGTAAGAAGATTTTCAAAATGTTTTCATAAAATTCCACTCATGGTTATCTATAGGATAGAAATGTCCAAGAAACTGAAATATGGAGTAAACTTCATACATTTCGACCACATTTATCTCTAAAAGTAGCACACGAAGGTATATTTTAGTACATGTTTAAATTGACTAGGTGAAAAGTACATTTGTGACTTGTATGCACATTTTTACAAACAAATCATCGTTGGATCAAAGCTGTGCCTTTAACCATGTATTTTCATTTAAAATGTCTATCAATCATAAATACTCAAATTTAATTTTAAAACCCATCGGGCAACTTTTCTGCTTGATAATAATAAATGCTAAAATAACATAACAAAAATACCTAACTCCAAGGCAAATTACAAAAAGAGGAATTTTATAAAAGCTGACAAAATCAAACACTATCAATCAACGGAACAAGTGAAAAAACAATTGCCATATTCATGACTTGGTACAGCCATTGACTGAAAAAAAAATAGTGGGATAAAAACATATCTGTAATCTATATTGTATAGGTTTTAATAAGGAGTAGTTAAAGCTGTTGGTGTTGAATTTGTAAAAGATGGCAAGAGACGACGGGTATTTGCAAAACATGAAGTAATTCTTTCAGCTGGAGCAATAGGCTCTGCTCAGATTTTAATGCTCTCAGGAATCGGTCCTCGCAAACATCTTCAACAAATGAAGGTAACGTAATTAATTATTTTCACGTTATACATTTAGGTTTCCGTATCAGGCATAAACAACTGTAATGTCAAAATGACAACCGTTCTGTAGCTGCCAATACATATATTGATTACAAAACAAAGATGTCTTTGCAAGTTTCATGAACAAGTCGATTTTTTATGATGATTTTGCAGTTTTACAAATTTGTTAGTTTTATGGATTGAAAAACAATTCTTAGTTGAAAACGATTAACTGAAGTGAATAAATACTTATTTATATACATAAACTAATTCAGTTAAAAAAAGACATTAACAATGAATCCTTCTGATGTTTTCCCAACATTCACCAGTTTCACTCCAAATTTAGTTGGATTCAAACAAGACTTAATCGAGGTAAGCAGCTGAACTGCTTACTTATGTTCAGATAACATTTCACTTTAACTTAGTATGCACATATATATTGCTGTCTAAATGAGTTCTGATTATTTGTATCGTGTTCGTGTAGTATCATTGATGCTTTCTCTACACCTTCATTGATTTTTAGCTAGTTGGTTATGATTTTTATTATATTCTAATTATATTCACTGTTCCGAAAAAAATTGGCAAAGAGTATTTGAGTAACATAAGACACGTTCTTATTCAAACAAAAAGTGAAAAGAATTGAAATGTTCCATATATCAAAACTAGTTATAAAAGTAATATTGAGCCAAAAAGTGCTATAAAGTACTGCATATACATATATTGGCGATAGTACTTTATCGATTTTAAAATCTCATAAATTGATTAAAAATACAGATCAAGACGCACACCACCTGTTTTGGTCCTCATTCTTATCCACGTTAAATTTTTCACTACACAATATTGTATGCAAGCGGGATCAATAAACCTGTATTTATACATCAGACCGTACTGCAATGGTTACCGAAATTTTGGATACATCAAACCAGGCATTTTATATCTGAAAAACAGGCTATATATGCCCTCCATTTTAGAATTCATTCATAGATTTACCTTTATGCGTAGGAACTATTTTGTTTAAAATATATGTACTACATTCCAGTATGTTCTTTTTTAACCGGGCTCGATTAGGTGGTGTTACATCTTACAAAGTCTATCGAAATTATTTTTGCAAAGAATTCCGCTCAAGGCGGTGTTAGGGGCCGTCTTACATTTGCAGTGAGTTGAGAATTTGTTCTCCGTGTTGAAGGCATCACTGTGACTTTGAGATGAAGAACAGCAATACAAGCGATGTTCCTTTGCTTTTTGTGTGTGTGTTTTTTTTTTTTTTTTTGCTGTTCATAAACTGATTTTGTGTCATGGATCGATACCCCATATCCTTTGTTTTTCTATCAATGTAACGAACAAAGCT